GAAACTGCTTGTCGTAGCTTTTGGAGTAAGTCGTGACGAACGGCTGGAGTGGTTTGGTTGGGATCAGGAGGGAGTGAGAAATCCCCGGGTAGCCGAAGGGGCTCGCCTAGTGTCAGATCTGCTGGGGTACAGTCCATATCCTCCTTGTGTGATGCACGGATGCCGAGGAGCACTAAGGGAAGCGCATCAGTCCAGCTGTAAGGGTCGTGCTGTGCCTTGAGTGCGTCCTTCAGCTGCCGGTGAAAACGTTCTACCATGCCGTTGGCTTGAGGGTGGTATGCTGTAGTGCGTTGTCTAGACGTGCCGAGGAACTGTAGGAGGTGCTGCCAGAGTTGTGACTCAAACTGTACTCCTCGGTCAGTGATTACGGTTGCGGGGGGGCCAAAACGGGAAACCCAACCGGACATGAAGGCGCGGACAGTAGTCTCTGCTGTAGCGTTGGGCATGGGAATTGCTTCTGTCCACCTGGTGAAACGGTCGATGCAGGTGAAGATGTAGGTGCTACCGTAGGATGATGGAAGAGGTCCCACGATGTCGAGGTGTACTACTTGAAAACGTCCTTTGGGAATAGGGAAGGTTTGTAAGGGGGCCTGTATGTGACGATGTATTTTGGAGGACTGGCAGGCCAGGCACTGGGCAGCCCATTTCTTAGTATCAGACTTGATGCCGGGCCAGACGACACGTTGCGTGAGGAGGCGCTGGGAGGCCCGCACACCCGAGTGGCTGAGACCATGGATGCGGTCGAAAACAGCGTGGCGGTGGACGTGAGGCACGAATGGTCTAGGCTGCCCACAGGATACGTACCACCACAATTTTATCTTTGTGCCAGGAACAGGGAGTTCTTGGAGTGTGAGGCCTGAGGGGGATGTCTTGTATGCTGCCAGGTCTTCGTCTTTCTCTTGAGCCGCGGCTAGCTTCCCATAATCAATGGGTGGAGATGAGGGAAGAATGTTGGATATACAATGAGAGAGGGCGTCGGCGATCTCGTTGTGGCTGCCTTTAATGTGTTGGACGTCGCTGGAGAACTCCGAGATGTAAGCCAAGTGGCGCAGGACACGAGGTGCATGTGACTGGGAAGCTGAAGCGAAGGCGTGGACGAGGGGCTTGTGATCAGTGAAGATGGTGAACTGACGGGCCTCGAGGAAGTGCTGGAAATGTTTGACAGCCAGGTATATGGCCAGGAGTTCTCGATCAAAGGCGCTGTACTTAAAGTGTGGTGGTTGAAGCCGTTGTGAGAAGAAAGCAACGGGCATGAGAATTCCGTTGATCTCCTGCTGTAAGACGGCGCCCACTGCAGTCGAAGAAGCGTCTGTTGTGAGAGTGGTCCGGGCGTTAGGTGCGGGGTGGGCCAGGAGGGTGAGGCGTGTAATGTGCTGTTTGATAGTGGTGAATGCCGTAGTAGCCTCTTGAGTCCACACGAGAGACTTGTCAGACTTCTTTGGGCGTCCCTTGAGAAGGTCGTGTAGGGGGGCTAGGACGGTGGCAGCTTTGTCAATGAAGCGGTGGTAGTAGTTGACTAAACCCAGGAATTCTCGGAGTTTCTTCGTCGTTTCAGGTTTGGGGAACTCCCTAATCGCAGTTATCTTCTGTGGTAGGGGTTGTATGCCACTGGGCGATACTCTGTGACCGAGGAAATCGATGGCCGAGGTTCCAAAGACGCACTTAGCAGGATGAACTTTCATGTTGTTGTTCTGCAGGCGTTGGAGAAGGAGTTGTAGGTGGTGGCGGTGCTTGGCAGGCGTCGAAGATGCGACGAGGATGTCGTCCATGTAGACGGTGACACAATCGAGGTCGCGAATCATATGGTCCATGTACCTCTGGAAAGTCTGTGCTGCATTGCGTAAGCCAAAACTCATGAAAGTGTACTCGAAGAGTCCAAACGGAGTGGTGATGGCTGTCTTCTGGGTATCTGCCGGTGCTACTGGGATCTGGTGGAAGGCACGCTCCAAGTCGATCTTCGAGAAGATAGTCTTGCCATGAAGTTTGTGGTGAAAGTCCTGGACATGCGGAATAGGGTACCTGTCAGGTTTGGTTACGAGATTCAGGGCTCTGTAGTCGCCACACACCCTCCACTCGCCGGGTGTTTGCTTAGGAACCATGTGAAGAGGCGATGCCCAGGGACTCCTTGAAGGGCGAATGATGCCGTCTTGCAGTAGTTTGTTGAATTCTACTTTGGCTGTGTTCAGGAGCTCAGGGCGCAGGCGGCGAGGGTGTGAAAAGACTGGTGGTCCTTTGGTTTCGATGTGGTGGAAAATTCCCGATGTAGGTGGTGGGGGTAGTGAGACTCGGGGTGAGAAAAGCTCCTTGAATTCGTCGAGCAGGGAGTAGAACTCGTTGGAAGGCGCAAGACAGGTGATAGTGTCGGTGTGTCTGGCACGAGAACCCTGGATCTTGCGTGCTGTAGGCTCATGGATGAGGCATAGATGACTTGGTTTGACGCCGAGCTTGGGGAAGGTGAGGAAGTCGAAACCAAGGATGGGTTGAGACACGTCTGCTATCACGAATAACCAACGCAGAGTCTTGGGCAGACCGAGGTCTAAGGCGAGGGTGCGTACGCCGTAGGAGGCGATGGAGGTACCGTTGGCAGAGAACAGGTCATAAGAGTGTTGCTTTGACTTGTCTTGTAGTGAGGGAGGGATGAGGCTGACCGATGAACCTGTGTCGATGAAGAACTTCTTGCCGGAGATGCGGTCGGTGACGCGCAGTAATGAGACGCCTGAAAGGACGAAGGCTGAGGCGTCTACCAGCCTCCTGTGTTGCCGTTTCCCGAATAGGTGCAATAGGGCTCACAGTTTCGAGCATTGCGGCCGAAAGTCTGGTGATACCAGCAGAGGGTATATTTGTTGTGCTGGGGGCTGGCTGCTGTGCGTCGGAACTTGTAGGGCGTGGTGTGTGAGTCAGGAACTGGCGCAGCAGCGGGTATGGAGGAGCAGAACTGCTCAATGGTGTCCATCCTGCGGTTCAAAGTTTGCAACAGGTCCTTGATGTCTTGTGAGGTATTGCTCGGCTGAGGGGTGTTGACCCGGCTTACAAGTTCGGTGGTAGGTACTGGTGTGACCGTGGCGGCAAGGGGTGCAGCAGCGCACTCGTTGAAAATTCTGTCTGCCGCGGTTGCATATAGTTCTGGTGTCGTAGAGTAATCTACTGCGGACAGGATGTTGAGTACTTCTGTGGGTAGCTTTTGTGCGTGAAGCTGGCGCAGGATAGAGTCGGGGAGTCTGTCTGTGTGACGGGAGTTCAGCCGACACATCTCCTCCCAGAGACGTCCCGGGGTTGAGTTCCCGAGGGAGATAGAGGATAGGTCTTGCAGGAGATTGGGGCTGGTCTGTTGATAACACGTCTTCAAGGCATCCCGCAGGGTAGCGAATTTGTTGTGATCTGGAGGATTGGAAATGGTCTGTGAGACCCGCGTGGCCACTTCCGTGGGCAAGGCACAGAGCAGGGCGCCATACTTTTGCTCGTCAGTCGCTTGTGAGCCGACGAGGGCTGCTTCCACATGATCTAACCAGTCCTCGACGTTGTGGTTGAAAGTCGGTAGAGAGATCCGTCCGTCCTCCATTCTGTGTGAGTGCTTTTTTCCGGGGGTCACCATTTGTAGGGTTTCGTGATATTAAGTTGTCTAGCACTCAGGATGGATGGAAACTCTAAGGTGGTGGTTTTCATATATGATTTAAATTATATGGTAGACAGTCTGGTGCTGGAGATGCCATGTGGTGAGGAGCTGCTCAGTAGACACGTTCGGTGAGTAGCGTGTTGAAGGAGGTAGATGTGCAGGAGCTTCATTAGAGAAGATGTTGCCTGTTGCTGGCCTCCTGGTTGAATGAAAGCTGGACAGCGAGGAGCTTGCTTGGAGGAGGTGTTATGGTTCAGAACGAGTAGAATAAGAGAGCTGGCAGAGGACGCCCAGAGAAGGACAGCTGGTGGTCGCTATGCTCGCCGGTAAAGGAGAGGACTGCCAGGCAGGCGGAGGAGAAGAGGCTGCCAGGCAGCGGCGGAGGAGGAGGTGTTGCGTGTTCAGGAATGTAGAGTAGAATGAATCTCAATGGAGAGACAGAGCTTATATACACAGCCGCCGGAAGTAAACCGTGGGAAGTCGCCGGTTTCTTGACTCCGTTGCTAGGGAAGACGTGGCTGGTTGCTAGGATACTGTGGCATCTGGTGACGCCCCCCCCCCTGGGCCGCTCGTTTGGTTGCTAGGGAAGACGTAGCAGGTGACTGGCTGCTAGGATACTGTGGCATTGGAATGCGGCTACGCAGTTGTAGGAGAGACGTCCACTACAGTCTGTTTGGTAGCTGCCTACTGCCTGTGCCTACTAATTGCATATTGTTTAGTTGGATTCTACACACACACACACACACACACACACACACACATATATATATATATATATATATATATATATATATATATATATATATATATATATATATATATATATATATATATATATATAACCTCAAGCATATATTCTGGGTGCGACTTCAATTTCTGTTCAGTCACCTGATAAATACTTAACACTCGTTTAATGGAACCATCACTTGAAAGGAGTAGGTGGAAAGATTCAGTGTATATGAGGTTAAGATTAGGATATAAATATTATTGGGAACTTGGAGCTGAGAGAAGTGAACAGGATAAAGAATGTAGAGTTTGTAGAACATCCAGATCCCATACCCTGCCACATTATATACTGGAATGCCCATTGCTTAATGTATATAGAAATGCCCATATAAATAATGTCCCCATGCAAATAGAGTGGATGTTTAAAAATAGGAAAATAGATGAAATATTAAAGAAATATAGAAATTTTGCATCTAGAATATAACTATGTATGTATATAACTGATTATATGAAATATTAGGGATTTATGTGAGTCCTGAGAGGGACATTCCTGGACTGGGGTGAGGATGACTTATGTCACTTCATCCCTTTGAGATATATTAATGTCTTTTGTATTTCAATAAACGTAACAATCAATCAATCAATACGGTCTTTGACTCACCCGCCTGTGTGGGACCAGTTATTGTACTGTAGTAAGGCTCCAGTGCCCCAGAACCAGTCATAAGTTTTGTGGCCACTCGTCCAAATCCACGGTATTGGATCTGTTGAATTTTGGAATAAATTAATAACTGTACACACGCGGGCCTGTAGGAGGTGAAGACAGGATGCTGGCAGGGATCCTAAAGTTAGTACTACAAAAATCAATGTCTAATTTAGAAGGCGTGCCAGAGCTGCTGAACCTAATGTTTACAGAAAAATTTCCTAAACTTTCCAAATTGCGTTAAATAGGTAGTATATCCACCTACAGACCCTCCAGCAGCTGGTGAAGTAGGGTACATAGTCGACCTCAGACCTCTTAAGAACTAGTAGAGAGGTATAAAGCTTACAGTGAGAAAAGTATTACCTTTTTACGATGCCTATGAAAATGTAGCCAAGGTTAAAGGGGAACAAATATATCTGAAATTTAAGCATTTATAAACCACTGCTTTGACAAGGTCATTTAGGACGATTTTTCACATTAGTACATTGTGACACTATGGTTGCCTATTATTACCGTTAGGAACCGCAACAGTACAAATACACAGTTATGTTGAACGTTAACCAACCAGGGTCGTGTCGCTCAAAAACTAACGTAAAATGGGGTTAAAACCCACGATGCAACAAACGAAGATTTTGACAACCCTAGCGAAACTTAAGTGGTCATTCTGAAATTCCTCGACCCCTTCGTAAAAAATTTGAGCGGCTGTACATACACTATTACAAGCTTCATACTTAGTAGATAAAGAAACTTAAAACTCCAACGACTTGCTTTCCGATAGGACTTGATTCATGAAGATGTCCTCGCTCTGGTCTACTATGCTGATCGCCTGGAAGTTATGACCCAGCCCCCTGCAGTAACCATCAGCTTCTTCCCAGGTGTAGGTCCTCCCGCTGTCGTGACACCAAGAGAAGTGGTATGCCCGACCATAACGAATCACGTCCACTTGCTAGAAAGTGCGCCGGTATGAAATCTAGGAAATAAAATATTTTATCGAGAACCATTACATCAAAAGGGCATGGTACAGTAGTACGCTACTCGCACCCTCCCCTTCTGTTAATACAAGAATTATATTTGCAGCAATAAAATAGTTCATTTAGACACGAGCACTTTACTACATTAAAAATGTAACCTTTACTATTTTTATACAAAAACTTGCACAATTTTAATAAAAATTGTAATTTTAATTTAGTAATCTCACTATTCCTGTGTGATTGGATTTTTTCACATCCCAATACATAATGTTGTATGGTGTGTGCAACCCAAGATAAAAGTTGACAAGAATAAGCGCCCCTCCACTTATCTGCCAGTAATATTTGTATCCCAATCTTAACCTCAATAGTATCAACAGATGCAAATTGGTCCCGTAAGTTACATTGGCGCTTTGTGAAACTAGTAAGGCTGAAAAGTCTACTGCACATGGCAATCACCTGCCATGCTTTTTCCCATACTTCTTCATTTCCCTATTTATTGTTCTAATACGGCGTATTTATATTGCTAACAAAATCATATACGTCTTCACTGTAGGTTTCTTACCAATTTGTCAAATTTGTTAATGAATCCCCCACGTGTGATTGAATCCAAACAAACTGCAGTGCAGTTAATTTTTTGCATTACTTGACCAGTCGTTTCCAAGAGCCGTCATGAAGCGTTATACATGTATTAGGTAAATGATGATGTATGCGAGAGGTTTCGTACGTTCCTTAGAAGTCATTTACAGCGACTACTCCCTACTCACGATTGATTAATCAATTTATGGAATTCAGGCTCAGTCAAGCGCTGGAGCCAATACGCTATTCAATTCCGTTTGGCAATTCTGCGAATGCAGTTCAGAGATATTCCTTCGATAGAAAAACATACTATTGAAAACATCCGTTGCTTCACTCTTCCGACTAATGTAGATTACGAACGGATAAAGAAAACTAAACTTCACAGTTCCAGCCATAGCTACTGTTCGATGGTATTTGATGGGAGGCATCCGAATTGGACCTCAACTTAACGGAGTCTTCGAACTTTTCGCACTTCTCTTATTTATCCTATAAACCCAATTTTCTTGGCTGTTAAGTAGAACGCAATTACAACAAAAATTAACCATCTACTGCAGGTCTTGGATCTTAACGCTATTTAATGCACACTTTGTCCAGAGCCTCATCAACAACCAGTTCGGCATAGGTGCCTCAACACCCGCCAGCCCCCCCCACCCCCCCACCACCAAGAGGCGTTCAACACGGGGGTACTGTGAATTGAAATTTGTTTGCGCCAATACTTTCATCCTGCCACTCAACGACTTCTTTCCAAGTACCTCTTTGATGAAAATTCAGGAATAAGACCTAAGCAAAACAATGTTTAAAAATACTCAATCCAATTCTGCTCGGGTTACAGCTGAAGGTCAGTGGTGTAGTTTGTGGTGGTAGAGTCCGTAAAGGTTCCTGCTGCGGCATTTGTACAACTCTACGGGGTTGTGGAAGCCCCTGGGGTACCAGAGACTGTTGTGGTTGGAATGGTTGCTGGGGTACCAGGATCTGTTGCTGGGGTGGTAGGCGTCATAGGAGGGAAGATCAGCTAAAAACTAATGGCCCATCACTTTTTTGGTAGATTTTAGTGTATATAAACAGAAAATAATTTCAGTTTCAATATTTTGCAACCTTTTGCTATGTAAATTTTAGCGTGAAATTTATCGAAAATCTAACGTACAGCTGCATTAGTGCATTACAATTAAATAGTGAACATTGCTTTCTGACTTCATTCTTTAACAACCCAACTAACAATATTTTTTTTCTGTTTCAGATTCTGATGCATTTATAAGTTGATAATATTTGCGATGGCTGCTTGTGTCAGGACGAGGAACCAAAAATCCAGCCATCTCAGTCACTATCTTGGGTCTGGGAGAGAGCTCCCTGTGTCGAAGGTTTTACATTGAGAGAGATGCTTTGAGATACGGTGTTTTAATCAGCAAAATCATGAAAAGAACCAAAGAAGAACTTACACAAACAAAGACATTGCCAGTGGAGTGCGACTCAAAGCTGTCTTGGCATTAGCATACCTCTGGCTAACGCGCAGTTCAAGCCTCCAGTCGGCAATAACAAGCTTAAAGAAGATTAGTGAGAGACTGCTAGTTGCTGGGGAAAAGGCAAGAGATATCTCTCTCGGGAGAGGAAATCTGTAGTTATGATTAGCTTTTAAGCAAGCAACTGGACCAGTTATTTGACATAATTACTGCAAGTGCCCAATTGAGCCCCTGTCCTGAGTTTGATGCGATCGTGACCAAATACGAGGCCCATTCCTGTATTTGCAAGCGAACTGAAGATTCTTGTGATCCCGAACTGGCATTTGTCAGCACAGAGAGAGAAGACTGGCATAGTTTCCTATGATTTCTAGCCAAGATATTCCGGAGTCCAAGAGACAGGAGGCTGCTACAGAGAGACAGAAGACGAGAAGAGTTGCCGAGGAAAAGAGACTTGAGAAGGCCCAGGGTGAGGTAAAAAAGGCCGATGTTTGGAGTCAAGCTGATTCAGAGTTTAATGACTTCCCCATGGCTGATCCGAGTGCTGACCAGGAGAATGGTGACTTTGTCCCTAACCCAGAAAATAATGATTCCAAACCTTCCAGGCATAAGATTCGAAATAGGAAAGATATCCCGAGCATAGCTCTGGCCAGCATGCGACACCACACTGGTCTCAGAAACTGCAGAGATAGCAACAGCTGCCTGGATTGACGGTGGTTTGATAACAACACATGATGAGTTCTACCTGGTGATATCATAACAGCGTACAGAGCTCAGAGAAACTGTTGTGCAACCTAGAAGAGAGCTGATAAGGGATAAGAGAAATGGAATCACCTGTTTGTTCTTTTGATGGGAGAAGGGATGACACTAAAGTGTTCATGAAAGTTGGAGATTCTGACACAAGTTGTTCCCCTGCCATGGTGAAGGAGTGAACACTACTCCTGCTGCAGTGAACCAGGAGGGGAAGTATTTGTGCATTTCACCCAGAGAAAGATGACATCAGGAAACCAGCTGAGATAGTGGCAGATAACATTGTGAACTGGCTCAGAGAGGAACGTAGACCAGACCCTGCAGGCCATTGGAGGGGACAGCACCAACACGAACACAGGGTGGCAAAGGGGGGTCATACAGTGGATAGAGCGGAAGATTGGGAGGAAGCTGGTCTGGATTGTTTGTGACCTCCACACCAACGAGTTGCCACTCAGACATCTGATCCAGGAGCTGGATGGCAAGATTCTTTCAAACAACAGATGGTCTGGTCCTCTTGGCAAGATGCTGGACTCTGCCACTGAGTTA